CTTGGATTGAATTGAATCTGCTTTTTGAATCTGCTTTTTGAATCTGCAATTCAAACCCATTGGGAGGCTCTCTCCCAAATTTGCCCTACACCAGGCCAGGGGGCAAACCTGGAGTAAGTGACTCCATTACCTGAAGTTATAATTGAACAATTGACCTCTGATACGCAAATGGACCAAACTTTCGCCTGTCTGGAAAACTCTGATTGCTGTCTCACCTGGGTGTGGCCTCTGCATGCCCAGGGTGTGCTTTTGAAGGCCTTTCAATAAATATCCACCTTTATCCTTTAACCTCTGCTCCAGGCAGCCTCTCCAGGCATCAGAGGGGTGAGGAAAATGTCTGGGAAATATCTGAAAACACCTGGGAATAGCTTGGCTATAGAGCCCTCCTGTGGCACCAACCACTTCCCATTTAACTCAAATATCACAAGAGTGAAAATGTTGGTGCTCGCCAAAGTAACACCTTCATTTTTATAATTATAAATATAACTGAGCCTAATTCTTAACATGAAGACATTTTTCCATGTTGTTTGTTTAGCTCAAGGGAGCAGCTACTTCAAATTCTAAGAGTTTATTTGTAAAGAAAATTGGGATTATCTCTGCTGTGGAAAGCCACCCTGGAAATCTCTGCTGAGACACTTCTGGCTGCCCCCAGAGGTAAAACAGATCCATGGGAGCATCCCAGGCTGTATCCCCATGGATGCACCTGCAGGAGCCCAGCCTAGGAGCCTGCAGCAAGGCCTGAACCCCCAGAGGTGCATCCAGCAACTAAAAATTCCCACAATCCAACTGGGAGCGACAAGGACTTTACTGGAGCAACATCCCAGAAGGAATTTATAACTAAAGTTCATAAAGGGCTTTTATCAATTTAAACATTCACTCCTTCAGGCACTGAGCACAGTGATGTGACCCCAAGCCCACGTTTGCTCTCCCCTTGTCCTCAGCCACCTGCAGCACCAGGATTCGCTGGGATAACCCTTCCCTAATTTCCTGCTGCTCTCCTTCCTGATGAGCAGACACTTTACAGCAGCCCAGCCCTGCAGAGCTCACCTTCATGGCAAAGCTGGAGGGCATCAGGTTCTTGGGCCACTCAAACTCCGTCAGGTGGATGCGGATCCCCGACTCCAGCAGCAGCGTGGCCTTGCACTCTGGCCTGGGGGAACACAGGGCAGCTGCACCCCAAAATCCCACAGATGCACCCCAAAATCCTCAGCTGCAGCCCAAATCCCACAGCTGCACCCCAAAATCTACAGCTGCACCCTAAATCCCTCAGCTGCACCCCAAAATCCACAGCCGCACCCTAAAATCCCCAGCTGCACCCTAAAATCCTACAGCTGCACCCCAAAATCCCCAGCTGCACCCCAAATCCCTTAGCTGCACCCCAAAAACGCACAGCTGCACCCCAAAATCCTCATCTGCACCCCAAATCCTACAGCTGCACCCCAAAATCCACAGCTGCACCCCAAAATCC